TCTTCTGTTTAACTCTTCTCAAAATGTGTAAATCTGTGCCCTGGAGATTATACAGTCTTTCCTGGCGGGGACTGGCTCACCATATCATACTCTGGCCAGCCAACTGTCATGTCTTGTTGCAGGGATTTTTTCCACTGGAACACATACGTGTCCTCCAAGCTCATATCTATGGGCAAATACAAGTGCAGATACTCCTGAAGTAAAGTAGTCAACGCTGAGGTTTGCGATGCTGGTCTTTTCATCCCCTGGAAGTTTTAAGAATGCTTTTTCTGATACAGCTGTGAATGGGAAAAGTCTTGCTTCAGGAGATCTTGGGGTTAGTCTTTGTTGACACAGAACCTTAAATAGTGACTCAGAGGGCATGTTCCATACTTTTATTTGCTAGATTATAAATCCTCTCCTGCTGAGCAAAATGGAAATCTGTCAAGGGATCATACAGAAACATATGGAAAAAGTCTGACACTGAATCCAAGACCAGTTCTAAAAGGAGGTGTACTTTAGCAATCTGATTATTCATTAATGCACTTATTTTTCTGTAGCCTCCCAAATGTAGCAGTCCTTTCCCAAATGCAGCGTAAAGCCTTATTCTTACTCCAAAGAGCTTGCCTTCCTCATTGTAAAGGCACATAGACAGAGGGCAGACAGAGGAGAACAAACAAGTCAAATTGAAGAGAGCTCTAGCCAAGTCCTTATAGTATGGCGCTTGAATCATAGCATATTGTATTTATAAGGTCTAATGTAGACTTTCAGATTTTCCAGTCTCTTGGAAGTGTAAATGTCCATACTACCCATTCACTAAAAAATTCTGCCAGAATCCTCTCTGGCATCTGGCAGACATATCATTGCACACAGTCTCTGTCAGATAGACCCTGCCTGCCATTTGTTCTGTGAGGGAAAGGGGGTCAGTTGGTGTGTGTTTTCTTTTTGCTGACCCCTGTGCTGTGTTGAGAGGTTCTGAGCCCCGCCTGGGGATGCATATAAGCTCTGATACCTTGGGAAGGGGCTAGAAATCTAGAATATGCTACATCACTTTAGAGAGAGGACCTTGCATGCTGGGCAGGTGCATCAGATATTTGGCTTTTGATTATTTCCCTCCCTTGTCTGTATATTCTACCAAGGAGATCCGTCTAAAATTGAGGGAACAAATTAGATAAAGGATTTCAGGGCGAAAGAGAACATGGCCAGCTTTACTAGGAAATTTATGTAACTGTCTACCTCCAATTCTTTGAAATTGTTGAAAGGATCTCCCTAGAGTGTTAGGAAAACCCGTTTTCCCAAAGGGCTTTTTTTCTTCTGAGGGAATAAATACAGAAAATGCCTGGCTATACCAGCATGTGTTCGTGAAAAGGCTCAGACATTCTCTTTTGAAAATACTGGAGCTGGAACCCTGGTTCAACTAAGTTATGCCTGTTCGAGAATGCAGGGGATAGTGAGAAATTCACCTTTCCACTCTCCTGATCCTGAAGGCAACTAGGGTCTGAACTTGCCCTAGGACAGCTTAGAACAGTTCCTATTCAAATTGGGTCAGTCTACCCTCGACGTCAACGGGTAAAAAGCAGTGAGCAGGATGATGCTCCAGCCCTACATCAGAGGAAGCCCCTGGTGACAAGCTGATTCAGCTTCCAATCTCCTTCACAGCGTCAGATCGGGATCTGCCTGTCCTTTCACGATGCCTTTGCTTATTTTAGCCTAATAAGTGCATTACAGACACTGTATAGCAGATGCAAATGCCACCTACTGTTTGCCACTGAAAGCTTCAGATCAAAAGCACAGGAGGACGAGGGCATCACTGTGGCAGCTTCTGGGTCTCATGGGTTTGACAGCTGGAGCAGAGGCGGTGGGTTTTCCGGGGTGTGAGTCGGGGGCGATTATTTTTTTTCGGGGATGGGGGTTCTTCTCTCTCTTCCTTTGGAAGCCCCCGGCCTCGGCGCTGCCTTGGGCCCTTAGGCGGTGCTGAACGGACAGCTCCGCGCCGG